TTTCGAACCAAATTATCACAAAAAGTAAGTCATGAAGGTATATTTTCCTTTGCATATTTCAAAAGTACACATTAAAATTGACCTTCTACCAAAATTTCAAGAAAAAAATCAACTAGGAATCTCTACTGTATCGTATGCCCTTAAATATGAGGCAACAGTAGTAATCAAAAGTTCAAATTCAATCAATGATAAAATGATAAAAAACGAAGGGAACTGCATAAACTCCAAAAAGGAGTGAGACCGTATGCGTAGATATGCTAAGCGGTTCCTGCTTTGCATTTATCACCGCCATGCAAATCCAGAATCACTCAAAATTTCATAATAGAGAACCGGGCACAATCAGTAAAGGATTAGGTCCAGTAAGACCCCTTTTTTGCCCCAAAATATAGCAGTTTTACAAAAGTGTTCAAATGTAAACTTTTATCTATTTATTGGTAGGTAGAATACTTCTGCTACATAAATATGGGCTATTTTGACAATACAATGCACATATATTGGGTACTAGCATCATTAAGTCATGCTAAATTACTGAAATCTTCACAATTTTAGTATTTGAGTTAAATTTTAGACGGTTTCCGTCTTGTATAGAAGTGGCCGCATTTGTGTTCATTCTTTATATTCAAATGTAAGTTGTATTTGATGATAATACATAACATAATATAAAGGTTGAGAGTGAACACGGATGCGGCCACTATCACTTTCGACAAAAACCATCCGAAAAGTGACATATTATGGCATATTTGATAGATTTTTCATATGTAAGCTTCAATTTGAGCGTCTTTAATGATAAAATCAGTTCAAATCTTTCACATAAACTAATTGAATCGACTGAAGTAGACACTTGAGTGTTTAAAAAGTGTCCAAAATCTTTCATCAGATGAACCTGAAATTTGAGGCCAAAATCGGCCCTTACCGGACCTACTCCTTTACAGACGAGTCTATTATTCTGATGTCTTCAGATCTAAGACTGCGAAACGTATCTCTCATGAGTTGAAACATAGACACTTGGTATTGGGCAATCAAATCGGGATGATGACCATAAAACTTTCGTAATTTCGATTTAGTCGTTTTTCCTTATAACCTTTCAAGTTATGAAGCGGTTCAGTTTTGCGTAAAGACAATAACCCTATCAATGAAGTCCGTATAATATGAACATCTACGCGTGTAACATATCAATTGAAACACATAAACACCATACGATGCTTTAAAAATGTTGAAAAAATTTCAAAACAATAAGGTAACCCCAAAGCATAGATTGCCTTAGCCGTATAATTTGGCACAATTGTTCGGAATTTTGGTTTTTAACACTCCAGGAGTAATTGCAGGTGCTCCGCATGTCGCACACGAAATTGTCATTGAGAAAATGTAATTCGTCACGTTTGTCGTAGACCCTAGTTTGTAATAGTCCATCTGTGTCAACAGTTAGAAAAGGCAGAACTTCTACTGTCGTTTGTTACCTTAATGTCAAGATATATAAGATGCAAGCACTCACTGAAATGTGCATGGGTTATTGAGTAACATGACATCATCAATATATCTGAACGTGAAATTAAACATTTTGGCAGGATGCTTTTTTCTTTTTGTCGATGAGAAGTTGTACTAATTTTTCTTCACATAGATAAAATAACAAGTCGGTCAGTTGGTGTGCACAATAAAAGCCCTTTGACATACCGACTGTTTGAAAAAAAATGTCAAGCATTTTGATATCGTGGTCGGTGTATTTGTTGTAGAATCAATGAGGTTCTTCACAAAACAATCATTTTCATGACATAAAAGTAGAAATTTGCATCGACGATTCCCAGAAATATTTTTTTTTTATAAGAAGATGAAGTCGATCTTCCAATTGGACACAAGGAATAGAAGTAAAGAGCGTAGGAAAATCAAAGTGTTTATGTTATTTCGAAATTGCAACGAATGTAAGTGATTGAAGATGTTAGATTTTTTAAGAATCAACATCTTATTGACATCGCTGGTTGAGTATACCTCGTCACAATATTCTTAATGCCATTTTTACTATCGAAAGAATGGTAGTAATAATTTTTAAAAAAATGTTGAGTTGAACATATTGACAAGCCTGCCTGCTATATAAAGTTTGTCTGAGGATTTTTGTGAAGTCTGAGTTTCCTTTTTTAAAGAAAGGAGATTTTTCGTCGTCCTTCTATGTTGATATCTAAGGAAAATGGACAGATTTTAGATTTACTAAAATCTCTTTTTGTCAATGATATAGGTAAATCCAAGATAGGGGTCACAGATATTCTGTGATTCAAAGATTTTTTGTTAGGCAATCCGGTAAAGATTTTTACATACAGAACAATAGAGTTTAATGCTTGTTTGCTGGAACAACAACACAATTTTTGTCTTTAAGATCGGATAAATCCAATAACCTCAGGTTTTTTCAAAAGTGAGGCGGAAGATACCAAAGGGATATTCAAACTCATAAGTTGAAGGCAAACTGATTAAGCCATGGCAAAAATCGAGCTATACGACCAAAAGGGACAAAAGACCTAAAATAGCCAAAATCACCTAAAGTCAACTTTGCATGAGGGAGATGACATATTTTTGGCATTTATTAAAAAGAGGTTGAATATACCAAAATGAGAATCAAAACTCATCAGCTGAAACGAAGACTGACAAAATTATGGCAACACAAAAGACAACGGAAAGACTAACAACAGTCTACAAAACACAACACACGAAATTGTCATTGAGAAAATGTAATTCGTCACGTTTGTCGTAGACCCTAGTTTGTAATAGTCCATCTGTGTCAACAGTTAGAAAAGGCAGAACTTCTACTGTCGTTTGTTACCTTAATGTCAAGATATATAAGATGCAAGCACTCACTGAAATGTGCATGGGTTATTGAGTAACATGACATCATCAATATATCTGAACGTGAAATTAAACATTTTGGCAGGATGCTTTTTTCTTTTTGTCGATGAGAAGTTGTACTAATTTTTCTTCACATAGATAAAATAACAAGTCGGTCAGTTGGTGTGCACAATAAAAGCCCTTTGACATACCGACTGTTTGAAAAAAAATGTCAAGCATTTTGATATCGTGGTCGGTGTATTTGTTGTAGAATCAATGAGGTTCTTCACAAAACAATCATTTTCATGACATAAAAGTAGAAATTTGCATCGACGATTCCCAGAAATATTTTTTTTTTATAAGAAGATGAAGTCGATCTTCCAATTGGACACAAGGAATAGAAGTAAAGAGCGTAGGAAAATCAAAGTGTTTATGTTATTTCGAAATTGCAACGAATGTAAGTGATTGAAGATGTTAGATTTTTTAAGAATCAACATCTTATTGACATCGCTGGTTGAGTATACCTCGTCACAATATTCTTAATGCCATTTTTACTATCGAAAGAATGGTAGTAATAATTTTTAAAAAAATGTTGAGTTGAACATATTGACAAGCCTGCCTGCTATATAAAGTTTGTCTGAGGATTTTTGTGAAGTCTGAGTTTCCTTTTTTAAAGAAAGGAGATTTTTCGTCGTCCTTCTATGTTGATATCTAAGGAAAATGGACAGATTTTAGATTTACTAAAATCTCTTTTTGTCAATGATATAGGTAAATCCAAGATAGGGGTCACAGATATTCTGTGATTCAAAGATTTTTTGTTAGGCAATCCGGTAAAGATTTTTACATACAGAACAATAGAGTTTAATGCTTGTTTGCTGGAACAACAACACAATTTTTGTCTTTAAGATCGGATAAATCCAATAACCTCAGGTTTTTTCAAAAGTGAGGCGGAAGATACCAAAGGGATATTCAAACTCATAAGTTGAAGGCAAACTGATTAAGCCATGGCAAAAATCGAGCTATACGACCAAAAGGGACAAAAGACCTAAAATAGCCAAAATCACCTAAAGTCAACTTTGCATGAGGGAGATGACATATTTTTGGCATTTATTAAAAAGAGGTTGAATATACCAAAATGAGAATCAAAACTCATCAGCTGAAACGAAGACTGACAAAATTATGGCAACACAAAAGACAACGGAAAGACTAACAACAGTCTACAAAACACAACATACAAATTTAAAGACTGGGCAACACGAACACCACCAAAAACCGGGAATGATCTCAGGTGTTTCGGAAGGATAACCAGATCATGTTCCATAAGTGGCAATCGTTGTGTGATTCATTTAAGTACAAATTTGATGATAAATCTCATTCGGTGTCACATTCGAGAAAAAGAGAAGGGGATTGTGGTAACGACAATTGGAACATATCCATTTTCATCCGTAACGGTCAACTAACTAGTGATGGCGTCCGTAAAAATTTCTAAGGGATGACTTTAACTTTACAGTCAATCTTTTCAAATGGTTAGAAACTCATAATGAGTTAGTTATGTCAGCGGGTTCGCGTTGACTAGTTGTCGGTCACTATCTGTTGTTACGGCATCTTCGAAATTTTTCGAAATAAGACACTTCCAATTTGTTCTCAGTCATTTTCTCGTATAACGCTATACGCTAAAGTACTTGCTACATCTTATGATGCACTCTTTCATCTTGTATGTATAAACAATTATAGTTAAAACATTCTAAAATGTATGCGGAAATCAAGGGTGGTACTCGTCATGCATGTCATTGAAGCTTCACTGATATTTTCCTGATTTTTTTAGCTTCCTGATATTTGTTTTAGTTTAAGATTTAAGAACAAAAAACCATCATTTTAATCTACGTAATGAGATAACTTCAAAATATTTTCGATTCTTACCCGTCAATGAACAAAACATGTCGCCAAAACAAAACTCCCTTGTAATTTTACACATGTTACAATTACATCGCACATTACGCTATTTTAGGATTAAAAACTACATATGTACTTTAAATTACTGTTATTTTTATTAGTCATTTATCAGGAAATAACAAGGACAAATCACTGCAGAAGAAAATGTCTAAGATTTTGATCCTTTTATACTTTTGTTTTGAGTACGAGGATTTACTATATATATGTACTAATAACTTGATATTTTTTTTTGAAGAAGCTATCAAGTTCTTTCAAGACATAAACCTCGTTAGTAGAATGACCATCTTTTAAAAGAGACAAGACATAAAATGGGTACACATGAGAACCCATGAATCAAAGACACATTGCTTCTATGGATGTTTTTCATCTTTAAAGTTTTAGAAACATGAATAAAAGAAGATGTGACTGAGACAGCAACTCAACGACAACAATAATCAAAAGACGTCTAGGGGGCAACATGCAGTCTTCAACAATATAGAAGTGTCACAACACTATGTCAATCTCCAAATTGTCTTTAAATTTAACAGAAAAAAATCAACGATCTGTAATTAACATGTCTAGAACGATGATTCTAAGAACTCACATCTGCAAGAAATCTAGATTGTTTCACGGGTCGACTACAAGTATATATATGCTCTTTGGTAAGTCTTGTATATCAAAATAGTTTGAATTATTTGAGTAACTTAAAGCTATATTTTCGTAACTCTATGTTTTGGGGTTTTTATTTTTAAGTTATAATGAAAGATTTTCAAAAAAATATTACTACTTAATTATTCATAAATATTTCTTTTTGCTATCAACTTGTCTTTTATCTAATTCAAAATCCCAACATGTTGACCTTCTCGATGTGATACTTCTTGGTGTTAACGAATAAAATAGTACGTCGAAATAATGTCAACTATTTTAATGGTTGATTAAATAAAGCTTCTTAAATATTTTCTATAAGAAAAAGAAAAACAATTTTCGTTTACATTTCACAGTATTTACTTATCCTACTTATTTATATGTCTTCACACACACACAAAAACTTGTGGCAATAACGTGCAAAAAACATCTTGTAACATTATAGTAAATTTAGCAATTACGCAATTCAAGAACAAAACATAAATACTTACAGGTATTCACTCATGTTTATTATCTATACGTATATATCAGAAAGTTACTATAGGACATACATGTACCACATTAGAACACAATCTTAAAGATTTTTATCCTTTTTGCTTTTGTTTTTAGTACGCCCCAATGCTTTCCTATAAAAACAAAATCAACGGGAAAGTAAATATGCAGCCAGCTGCATTTCTCGTGTAGAAGTAGAATAATATATTGGTGCATGTACCATATGCATCTCATCCAACGGGTACTTTTAAATTATAAAAGTTTCCGTAGCATCAATAATGATGATTATTTTATTGACTTCGCCACTATAATAAGAAGAGAGAAACTACACATACGTTCTAAATAAAAACAAAGGGAGAAAACACAAAGTGGACACTTAAAAATCACAAGTTGAAGAAAAATAGACTACACCATGGCTGTAAAGAAAAACAACTTATAGACAAGCAAGCCCACAAATCACCTCACATAAAGCTACTGATTGAGCTGCGGAAAACCTCACAAAACAAGGGATGAACTCTATGCTCTGGAAGGGTCAATAGTTCCTGCTCCACTATTATCTCCCCCCGTGTTGCCCCTGTTAAAATGCGTTGATGAGTCATATGATAACATTAACGATACCAATCGTACTGCACCAGTTGCGCATTTCGACAATTAATGTCTCTTCGGTGATGCTCGAGGCCAAACTATTTGTAAGTCCTAAACCTACTAGTAATAGAAACATTGAAAAACCGAACAAAACCAAAAAGGACAAAAAGGACAAAAAATTATATTTTTTTTTCTTCAAAAACGGTATCTCTTGACATCCCCTCTCTCATAATTATCTTTAAAATGTCGTTTATTTTTGCTCTGTTTCTTTTAGCCGGATGATACTCAAACGTTTTAATTGCAACAACTTACAAGCAGCTCATGCGTAAACGGGGGAAATTTTAAACGAACGATTATCAAGATCAAAATATGCAACGAAAATTGAACTACTTAAATAAGCCTGTATATGATTGAATGTCAAGCTACAAACTTAGTTTTCCCTATTTTACTATTTTAGTCTAAATAGAGGCCAAAATAAAGATGATGTAAAAACTGTAAGTTGTAAAAGATTTTCCAACTTTTGAATATCTATCAGTTATAATTTAATCCTTTCATCAAATAAAAGTTGGTGTTAAAAGATATTTTGTGCTTCTGCTAGGCAATAGCCGGAAATACACTTGCTATTTCAGGGCAAAATGTACATGAATTTATTTTTTATAGAGTTGTCATATTTTGTTCGAAGTTAACCGAAGCAACACAGTTCTTTTGTCCCTTGCAACTTTGTCGGTTTGCAAAAATAATGGGACCAGACGAAATGTATGCTTCCATGCCGTGCAATTGACATAAAATCAACAAAGTGCCAAATGTATATTACAATTTTTTTTTTGCTTAGCTCTACCATGATAAAATTGCACGGCTAAACTGCGTTGGTTTTGTAATGCATATTTTTTTTGATAAAAGACAACACTTTATACATTTGGTGCGTTTAAAGATTCGAGGATTAAGTTCCTGTGTAAGCACGTTAAATACACCCAGCCATGCTTCACATTTTTTTTCTCAAAATTTACTGGATGTTTGCAAAATCGATCTCAATCCAAATATTCTGCCTGCATAGGCGAGTGTGATCTAGAAAATGCATATTAATGACTGAACTTGCTTTAAGACAACACCTAGTTCATATTACTTAAAAGTTATATGAATATTTTGTATGTTACTATACATAAAACTATCTTGTATACAAGAATAAATAAAGAAGGATTATTTTAGGATGAAATATCAAAGTTTAATTCCCATGTTGACATGCATTTCTACAAAATTAAATGTATCATGCATAAACACGTTTATAGATTTTATCACGGTTAATGAATATCTAATATAAAGTTTAAAGAAGATTGCATTTATAAAATATCAACATATTTTTTGTTGAGTACATGTTTACAGTCAACTTAGATATGAGGCAACAGTAGTTATCCAAAGTTCAATTCAATCAATGATAACCAAAAATGAAGGGAACTGCATCAATTCCAAAAAAGAGCGAGACCGTATGCGTAGATATGCTAAGCGGTTCCTGCTTTGCATTTATCACCGCCAAAATCCAGACTCACTCAAAATTTCATAATAGAGAACCGGGCACAATCAGTAAATTTTCAGACGAGTCTAATATTCTGATATCTTTAGAACTAAGACTGCCACACTTATCTGTCATGAGTTCAAACACAGCCTCCTGGTATTGTGCAATCAAATCGGGATATTGACCATAAAACATTCGTAGTTTTGATTTAGTCGTTTTAACTTATAACCCATCAAGTTATGAAGCAGTTCAGTTTTGCGTTAAGACAATAACCCTATCAATGAAGTCCGTATAATATGAACATCTACGCGTGTAACATATCAATTGAGATACATAAACACCATACGATGCTTTAAAAATGTTGCAAAATTTTCAAAACAATAAGGTTTTCTACCCCAAAGCATAGATTGCCTTAGCCGTATTTGGCACTATTTTTCGGAATTTTGGTTTTTAACACTCCAGGAGTGATTGCAGGTGCTCCGCATGTCGTACACGAAATTGACATTGAGAAAACGTAATTCGTCACGTTTGTCGTAGACCCTATTTTGTAGTCGTCCATCTGTTGCAACAGTCAGAAAAAAGATCCAGATATAAAAGACAGAACATCTACTGTCGTTTGTAACCTTAATGTCAAGATATATGACATGCAAGCTCTCACTGAAATGTGGGATATTGAGTAACATGACATCATCAATATATCTGAACGTGAAATAAAACATTTTGGCAGGATGCTTTTTTCTTTTTGTCGCTGAGAAGTTGTTGTACTAATTTCTCTTCACATAGATAAAATAACAAGTCGGTCAGTTGGTGTGCACTATAAAAGCCCTTTGCCATACCGACTGTTTGAAAAAAAGTCAAGCATTTTCACTACTGTAACAACAGCCCATGAAAAGGCCGTGAAATGTCTGTGAAATATCACAGGGCCGTGAAAACCCCGTGAAAATACCCCGTGACTTTTGTAAAAAAAATATTTCTAAAGGCCGTGAAAAGTATTTGATGTTTGAAAAAGACCGTGAAATTTCAATATCCCGTGAAAAGGCCGTGATAATTTGTCCTTTCATGCTTAATAAAAAGTATCACGGCCTTTTCACTGGTTGTTGAAACCAGTGAAAAGGCTGTGATATTTTTTCATGTCAATTTTTTCTTATCCTAATTCAGATTTAAAACATCCCATGTGATTATTGTAATATGGTCTAATTATTTCCACTCACATTTTTCTAAATATCCTATAAACTTTTCATTATAAATATATGTCTGTTTAAATATTATTATATGCAATACTACTGTACAGGACTGACTTTTAAATGGAACCATTCATTGTTATAGTTAATGACTTAGTGCCAATAAATATTAAAGAAAAGTATTTTGCTTCTCGTCTGTACATTATTATAAACAATGTAAATATTAATTTTAATTTGAACCGAAACATGTAAAAAAGAGAACTTCCCGGAATATCAGACCGTATCCGGATTCGTGTTTCTTTTAGAGTAATTGTAACATTTCCGCAAGGTTGGAAATTTGAAAGACGCCGAAGGTCGATTAATATTTACTTTATAGATGCAAGACGAGTGACAGCAAGTTTGAGGTAAGTTAAGTTATTAATATTTTATTCTTTTATGCATCAAATCACCAAAATGTTGATGACGTTTGTGAGCATTCTCAATTGAACTGATTTTCACTGAATTTGCAGAAACCGCACAAACATGCATGTGATATATATACTTATATTTCAAGTCTGTTGCACTTGATTCCTTTAATCATTTCGGTTAATGTTTTCTAAGACTTACCGGATCCTTTAAATACGATTACGGTTTTGTTTTGTTTATGTATTTGGGGACAAAGGGGGGGGGGGGGGGGGGGGGGTCTTTTTCCCCACACTGGCCACATAAACAAAAATGACATTTATGTACAGTACACTACGTAGACATAGACATAGATAATTGGAAATGATTATAATAGCAATAAGTATCTCTAAGTATTTTCTGACTTGGCCGTCGGGACACAGAATTTAAAAGGGATTAATCAGAGACGTAGCAGGGAAAGTATTTAATATTTGTACGGCAAAATGTCCTTTCTAGAAGGGTTTGTGCCATATCATAAGAATAATTGGTATGGCAATGAGGTGTTTAAAAAATAATTGGTATAGCGAATGTGCCTGCAGTAAAAGTTGCTACGCCCCTGGCCCCCTGTAAAATAAATAGCTGTGACTCATTACGGCCACTTAGTCTAGACAAGTTTGGCTTTAGCCATACATATTATTACTTCAAAGAAACATTTAAATTTAATAGTCTAAAAGTGTCTTTAGTCTTTAAAAAAATCTAAAAAAAATAATATAAGTTGACAATACAGAACTTCGTTAACTAATGATGCCATATTGGATAGGGGGCAGATTTTCTGGAAAATGGTATGAAAATATGGGAAAACCTATGCATGTTTTCAAGTAGCTGTTCTGTTTCAATGATGTTTTTTAGTATTTTTCATACCATTTTCACCTCCAGTATGAAAATCTGCCCCCTATTCAATATGGGGTCATTAACCGTGAAGTCCTGTATTGCATGGAATAATATTGTAGCTGTTTTAAGTACATGTATGTACATAAATGCCAAAAATTAATTTGAATATATAAATAGTTTTTTTATATACATGTATAATATATGTAATGTTTCTTTATTTATTCTAGGAATGAAGAGCAAAAGGATATAGCAGTCTTTATATAAAATAGTTCAGGAATCCAGTTGGAAAGAAGAGCTTTTCAGTTAAAAGTATTTCCTGGAAATTAACAGGAACTTCTATAAATGTTTTTCTGGAATAGTTATTCAAAAGGGCAGTGAAGTGAAGGATTACATTAGACAAATATTGCTGAAGTGGTAAAATCAGACCCAAGAGATGTACAAAATTTCTACAATACATGTTACAACTGACTTTAGCTACTTAATCACATTGACATTTGTGTGCTTTTATGTTTTCTTTACATAATTACTACAGTTCTATTAAAATTAATATTTTTTATTCTTTGTCACAATTATTACTAAAAAAATACAGCATTTTAATATGATTTTTCATAGTCTCACTTGCATTGTACTTAAGTAAGTTGTCTGTAGATGTTTACACTAGGTTTTCAGGCATTTCACTTCACTTGATTGAAACAGCATTTAATTTTTTTGTTAAATTATGGCCTGAAAAATACATTTAACATTTTACAGGAGTTTTCACAATCAGTGAATGGCTGTTTATCACAGTAGTACATGTACATTTCACGGTCTTTTCACAATAGGCACATAATTTATCACGACTTTTTCACGGTGTACATTTTTGTTTTTCACAGGGTTTCTACGGTCTCTTTACCCAAGTTTTTAGTTGACACCTTTTCACGGACTTTTCACGACAAATAAAGGCATATACTGTACTATATCTACATTTCACGGTCTTTTCACAATGGGCACATAATGCATTATCACGACTTTTTCACGGTGTACATTTTTTTTCACAGGGTTTCTACGGTCTTTTCGCCTAAGTTTTCAGGTGGCACCTCTTCACGGCCTTTTCAAAAACTTTTCACAGCCTTTTCACGACAGTCATTCCACGGCATTGTCACGGATAAGTTTCACGGCCCACCGTAAATTAATCGTGACAAACACTGTAAAAATCACCAGCATTTTTACGGACATTTTCACGGCCAATCTACGGGCCATTGTTCCAGTAGTGTTTGATATCGTGGTCGGTGTATTTGTTGTAGAATCAATGAGGTTCTTCACAAAACAATAATTTTCATGACTTAAAAGTAGAAATTTGCATCGACGATTCCCAGAAATATATTTTTTTTATAAGAAGATGAAGTCGATCTTCCAAATGGGCGCAAGGAATAGAAGTAAAGAGCGTAGGAAAATCAAAGTGTTTATGTTATTTCGAAATTGCAATGAATGTAAGTGATTGAAGATGTTAGATTTTTTAAGAATCAACATCTTATTGACATCGCTGGTTGAGTATACCTCGTCAAATATTCCTTAAGGTCATTTTTACTATAGAAAGAAAGGTAGTAAAATTTTAAAAATATGTTAAGTTGAACATATTGACAAGCCTGCCTGCTATATAAAGTTTTTCTGAGGATTTTTGTGACGTCTAGGTTTCCTTTTCTAAAGAAAGGAGAATTTTCGTCGTCCTTCTATGTAATATCTAAGGAAAAATGGACAGATTTCAGATTAACTAAAATCTCTTTTTGTCAATGATATAGGTAAATCCAATATTCTTTGATTCTAACATTTTTTTTAGACAATCCGGTAAAGATTTTTACATACAGAAAAATACAGTTTAAGGCTTGTTTGTTTCAATCAACCTTTTCTACATAAGAAAATGCCTGTACCAAGTCAGGAATATGACAGTTGTTATCCATTCGTTTGATGTGTTTGCGCTTTTGATTTTGCCATTTGATTAGGGACTTTCCTTTTTGAATTTTTCTCGGAGTTCAGTATTTTTGTGATTTTACTTTTTGCTGGAACAACAACACAATTTTTGTCTTTAAGATCGGATAAATCCCATAACCTCATTTTTTTTCAAAAGTGAGGCTGAAGATACCAAAGGGATATTCAAACTCATAAGTTGAAGACAAACTGATTAGGCCATGGCAAAAATCAAGCTATACGACCAAAGGAACAAAGGACCTAAAATAGCCAAAATCACCTAAAGTCAACTTTGCATGAAGTATATGACATATTTTTCATCAGCTGAAACGAAGACTGACAAAATTATGGCAACACGAAAGACGACGGAAAGACTAACAACAATCTACAAAACACAACATACAAATTTAAAGACAGAGCAACACGAACAACACCAAAAACCGGGAATGATCTCAGGTGCTTCGGAAGGATAACCAGATCATGCTCCACATATGGCAATCGTTGTGCGATTCATTTAAGTACAAATTTGGTGATAAATCTCATTCGGTGGAGTCACATTCGAGGAAAAGAGAAGGGGATTGTGGTTACGACAATTGGAACATATACATCTTCATCTGTAACGGTCAACTAACTAGTGATGGCATCCGTAAATATTTCTAAGGGATGACTCTAACTTTACAGTCAATCTTTTCAAATGGTAAGAAACTCATAATGAGTTAGTTCTGTCAGCGGGTTCGCGTTGACTAGTTGTCGGTCACTTCCTGTTGTTTCGGCATCTTCGAAAGTTTTCGAAATTGAACACTTCCAATTTGTTCTCAGTCATATTCTCGTATAACGCTATGCACTTAAGTACTTGCTACATCTTATGATTCACTCATCTTGTATGTATAAACAATTATAGTTACAACTTTCTAAAATTTATGGGGAAATCAAGGGTGCTCGTCATGCATATCATTGATTCTTCACTGATATTTTCCTGATTTTTTTTAGCTTCCTGATATTTGTTTTAGTTTAAGATTTAAGAAAAAAAAAACATCATTTTAATCTACGTAATGAGATAACTTCAAAATATTTTCGATTCTTATCCGACATGGAACAAAACCCGTCGCAAAAAAAAACTCCCTTGTAATTTAACACATGTTACAATTACATCAAACATTACGCTATTTTAGGATTAAAAACTTTATATGTACTATAAATTACTGTTAATTTCACTATTCATTTATCAGGAAGTGACAAGGACAAATCACTACAGAAGAAAATGTCTAAGATTTTGATCCTTTTGACTTTTATTTTGAGTACGACCCTGTGTTCTCCTACCAGATAAACTCTTTATGGAAAAGTCCGCGGAAAAATTACTAACCGCGTCCCGCAAGTAAAAGTGGAGGAATATCTTGGTGTTCCATATGCATCTCCTCCGACGGGTTATCTACGTTACAAGGTAGGGAAAATATTTAATTATTAAAATGTACGTACCGTACTAATGGAGATCTGAGCACAAAAGTAACATATACTGGTTTTCAAACAAAAGTAAACAGCTCGGAGAAAATATAAATAGTGTAATTCACGTCAATTGAACTCTGTTGTATAGTTGTCGCATTGGCAAACATTCCACATCTCAGTCTTTAGGTTTGTATATCGGTTGTGTGTACTGTTGTTTGTCATTTCGTGGTGTTTTGGTTTTTTGCTATGACATTGTCATTTTGTTTTCGATTTATAAGTTTGAATGTCCCGTTGGTATCTTTCGCTTCTCTTCTACTTATTATTTTATATATTATCTTTAAGAATTAAAGAAATCACTTTACAAAGACACGTCTTACTGCTATACGGTTTCCGCCTGCGTCCTTTTTGCAGAACAACAGAGTAGTAGTAGTGTTGTTCAATCTACTTCATTTTACCCCTAAATCCACCAAAGAGCAGACGATTATTCTACTCATATCAAGATTGAATCGCTAAAAGAGAGGCGAAAGATACCAAAGGGACATTCAAACTCATAAGTCAAAAATAAACTGAAAACGCCATGGCTAAAAAAGAAAAAGACAAACAGACAAACAGACAAACAACAGTACACAAAACACAACATAGAAAACTAAAGACTAAGCAACACGAACCCCACCAAAAACTGGGGGTGGTCTCAGGTTCCCAAGAAGGGTTAGCAGACCCTGCTCTACATGTGGCACCCGTCGTGTTGCTCATGTTAGTACAAACCCGGTAATAACTCTAATTCGGTATGTCACACTCGGAGAAAAGGGGACGGGATTGTATTTAAGACAATCGGAATATATCCGCTGTCATCTGTGAAACGGATATTCCATAACGGTCAATCAACTCATGATGGCCTCCGTAAAAATTACGAAGGGATGATTTCAACTTCACCTCTTGGAACTCTAGGTGTAATAGCTTCCTTGTGAGCCGCAACCCTCTTTCAAGGAAATCATGATAGGAAATACAAGCCCTGGAATATCGTATCAACTGGGAGATATATACTTTGTATGCAGGCGCTGCTGGAACGTTGCTACATAGAAATGAGAAGTTTACAATTGTGAAGCTAAAACCATCTCTTTTGTCGTTAAGTTCGGTTTTCAACCGACCATCATTGTCAAATTCTAGATGTAAGTCAAGATATGAGGCAAACTTATCTGTATCTGTTGTATCCCCTATCTCAAGTTCGATGGGATAGATGCGTTCAACATAGTCACCAAATTATGAATTATTCAGTGAGAGAACATCATCTATATAGCGGAAAGTAAAGTTAAAGGATACTGCTACCTTCTTTTCTTTCTTCCTAAGAAGTTCCTGTATGAAGTCAGCCTCATATGAATGAAGGAACAAGTCGGTTAAAAGAGGAGCACAGTTGGTTCCTATGGGAATGCCAATTGTTTGTTGAAAAAACGCGTATTCCAAACGTAACAAATATGTGGCTAGATTTTATAATCGATTAAGTTTTTTTAATGAGATCAAATTATTCTTACAAAATAGTTGAAGCGAGCGCAGCGAAGTTTTGAAAAGTCATTGCAAACTAAGTGAAATCATACAATCAGGCATTTGAAGAAATGTGTACATCAAGTACTGAAAATTATATAAATATATACACAATGCCAATAAAAAAGCCGCATTACTCCTTTGTTCTCAGTTAATTAGAATGTTAGTCGCTCTTAATTTGTTTTTAAAGTAATTGGATGCTTAAAAAAGTGTTCGCAGTCTTACTAATATTCTGCCTTAGAAATGAGCAGTCCAGTTTGATTAAGAAATGGATATTAATAATATATATTGGTCTCGTCTTAATGCATTACCGATAAGTTAACAATATTCTAACATGTATGCATGACTAAATAAAACAGGTTGACATTCATTTAAGTTTCATTATTATTTCCTGTTTATATGTTTGCATTTCTGCAAAATTAAATGTTACATGTCTAGAAATGTTTATATCTTTATTAAAATTAAATGCACAGTTAAACTTAATGGGGTTGATGGCATACATGAAATTAACAAAATAACACAGTATACACTACATCACAAGAATGATAAAAGTACAAGACATAATATACATATGTATAACTTTTGTAACGGTAAATAAGTAATCATTTAACAGGGTTTATGCACACTGATACCGTTAATTTTCAAAAGAGCGAGTAACAATACAAAGATTTTCAGTCAGTGAGTGTGAGTGCAGCAAAGGAGAAAATAGGGACTGGCAGTTTTGTAAAAATGTTGATATTGTCTCTCACAGTGCGTTTTTCGGATATTTTATTACAATATATGTATATGTAAAGTATCTTAGCAAAATATTCAAATAGTATACATAATTTGTTTATAATCCACAAATTTGTCTGTAATGTTCAGGTGAAGCGCGAAACACCCCAAAAAATCAATACAGAAAAGTACTTTCAATAACTCTTTAATAATGGTAAAACAGATATCAAAAACAAACAATCCAAAAAAAAAACAAAACAAAAAACTATACGGTTTCAAAGAATAATCACTAGAAAACCCAAAGAACTTAAAACCTACTGAAATAAAATACGCCGTCCTCTTAGAGATGGTTTTAGTAGTAATAAATATTAATTTCTTTGCAATCTGAGAATTCAATCAAATCAATCGAATATATATCAAACCAATTTAGAAATAAACACCCATTAAAAAGAACCAACTTTTATATATACTAAAACTAATTTCTAACGACTATAACAGATAGTTCCAGGCATGATAATTGGTCTAAGATATGTTTAAATTTTACCACTTGGTTTTTATTCTTTTTTGTTTACGCTCTGTTAGTCCCCTATACAGTTTGTCACAAGAGAAGTTCAGCACATGAGTTTTGGCATAACAAATCGGGAATATTTCCAAAAAATTTCATTGAAACATTCAAGGATGCCTTTAAAAATAAGAAGATATGGCATGATTGCCAATAACGAGACCAAAGAAAGTAAAATAACAAAAATACCGAACTCCAAGGGAAATCCAAAAGGAAAGTACTTTACAAAAAAGGCAAAATCAAAAGCTCAAACACATCTAACGAATGACACGGGAATTAACAATTATAGGTCATCGTTCGGTCTTCAACAATGAGCAAAGCCCATACCGCATAGTCAGCTATAAAAGGCCCCGCAATGCATGACAAATGTAAAACAATTTAAACGAGAAAACTAACGGCCTAATTTATGTACAAAATAATGAACGAAAAACAAATATGTTACACAGCAACAAACGACAACCACTAAATTACATGCTCCTGACTTGGGACAGGCACAAACAGAATGTGGCTGGATTAAACTAGTTAGATGACGCCGTACCCTTCCCCTAGCTTGGGACAGTGGTATAACAGCACAAAACAAGAACACACTCTACAAAACAATAAACGAATGACTGTCTAGTTTAACATGATTCATTCTGTTTTTATATTTGAATAAAATCATTGTGTAAATATGAACATAACACAACAAATATACGAGTTGTATATGTTTTACTTGTGAAATAAAGAAAACCGTGACATTTAAATTAACTTTTCCCATAATTACGTATTGTGTTTAATCAACAATATTACGTCAAATGAATTATTTTCCAGAAAATATTATTAGTTACCAAAATTCTAATATTCGGCTTTTTTATTTGCGAAAAGAGTACTATATCTAGCATTTTTTTTTAAAGATAACCCTTCAACTAGATAATTTCCCATGTCATTATCAGAGTAAACGAATATGTTATTATTATTCTTACATTATTTGTAGAGACCACAGATGCCTATGAAATGGGGTCCTCGCACTTTACACACAACCAATCTTCCACCAGCATGTCTACAGGAGACTCAGTACTCAATACGATTTCATAGACCAGGATTTGACAACTTTAACGAGGACTGTCTATATATGAACATCTATGTACCAAGAGTATGTAATAATTTGGTCTTTTGTAAAAAGAAAAGCGCTTCAGAATCTCCAAACTTAATCTTATGTGGAAAAACAAATTGATGACTTGATATTTTATTTTCGGAATTAACATGTAAATCTGAAATAATATAGCAATTTCAGAAATACGGCTGATAAAACACTCGGTTATAATTCAATCTAAAAATAAAATTTCTTGCGTATTCACAGGTCAATAAAAGGGCACTCTCGATTTTATTATTCATCCATGGAGGTTCCAATTTTCAAGGAATGGGAGCTGTGTTTGATGGTGACATCTTAGCCGCACATGGAGGAATAATTGTCATCACATTCAATTTTAGACTCGCCAATCTAGGTATAATGTATCTTATGGTTTAGATTTAAAAGATTCACAAAATAATTATTTTTCAGTTTCTAAACGTCTAAATCCACAAAATATTACTGAATGTAATTATTTATACAAATTTATTAGAGATGCATTATAAATAAGAAACAATTCTTTAAAATATGGGTACAATTATATTATTATTATATATATATATATTTCTATCCAACGCAATCATAGGTTTGAACGTTGTTTTCAATTTAGACTTGTTTATATTTTTTCGTTTGGGCTTGTATTATATTTGCCTTCGGGTTTATATGATCCGTTTATTCTATTTTGACTCTTTCAAAATTCAAGAGTATATCCTAAAATGAAGTAAATTATATGGCCTTCCAAAAACCGTTTCGATTCTTAACATCACTGAAGAGACATTAATTGTCGAAATCCGGATATGGTGTACTAATTTTTGCACCTTTTGTTTGCGGTACACCATCTTTTCCGCAAGTTTATTGTTTTCTGTTTGGTATTAAATTAATAAATTTTTAAAGAACTATTTTGTAACATCTTGTGATCCATTTATTTGGCAATCGCCAATGCCAGTCAGCAGGGTTTAAGAACATCTGTTGTTCGACCTGTTAGTCAAATGCGTTTTGTTAAAATATACTTTTTCACTTTTTTGGTCTTTTGGAAAATGTTGTTTGTGCTGTATTTAGACTCCTCTATCAAGAAATTTGTTTTGCATGCACACGTATGAAAATTGTGGTTTTTATCCAACGCAATCATAGGTTTGAACGTTGTTTTCAATTTAGACTTGTATATATATATATATATATATATATATATATATGTAAACCTCATATCTGTGTACGGCCTCAAATCTGTGTCCGTTTATCAAATCTGTGCCCTATCGCGACGTCAATCTCTAATATATGTCCGTTAAAAAAGATACGGCCTCAAATCTGTGTCCTATTTTAAATTTGTTTTCAATCGTGACGTCATTCGCAAATCTATGTCCGTTAAAAAAGATACGGCCTCAAATCTGTGTCCTTTTCTTAAATCTTTTTCCAGTTTGTTTCGCCATGCTCAAATTGATGCCCGTGTAATAAGTACGGCCTTATAGGATTTTTGTTTATTAAGTCATTTCCCATAATTCAAGGTTAAGTTGGGATGTGTTCTCCATGTGTGTGCTTCAAAATTTTACATGCGTGTGTAATTATTGTATGATTTACATTTTATTGTAAAACTACAACATTTTCAAATTGTTTGCTTTTCTTGACTCCGTGTTTAATTCTGTAGTAATTATCGTTACTTCCCTTTACTCATTACGTCTTGGTAACAAATACGAAATATAAGTTAATAAACAACCTGAGACAAAATCACATTTGTATACAAGCAACTAAAGATACATGTACGGCCTTCAACAATGAATTAAACCTATTCTGTATCGTAAGCTATAAACACATACACCTATTTACAAACGTTTTGTTCAATGTTTCAATGTATAGGTACCACATAAACATGTTTAGGGTATAATTTATTGTGTTTAACAACGACATTTTGTGCCACTATCTTATTTAAAAGTTTTTTTTCTGGTGAAACTACTCCAGTTTCGAATCTATGTATTTTTTAAAATCCATTGTGTACCATGACATCAACATTCAACAATAACAACATAATTCAGTGTACAAATTATTGGCATAACGAGCATACATGTTACTTTATTAATATACCTTCAAGAATGAAACTACACATATTTTTTTCACTAAAAAAAAGTAAAGACTAAATATTTTTTTGCAACATCAACATACTTCATTTTGTCTCTCGTCCATATAGCTGAGACAAAAATGGCCATAGATTTGAGTTAATAAAGGACATAGATTTTTGACAATACAGGACATAGAGTTGATACAATAAAAAACATAGATTTGAGACAATAAAGGACATAAATTTGGAACGTCTATGACGCAATATTAAAAAGGACATAGATTTGCGGAAAGGACATAGATTTGAGGCTGGACATAGATTTGAGGCTTACATATATATATAAATTACATGTGAAACTTTAAAATGTTGTTTTGTATATTATTATATGACTTGTAATGGAGAACACTAATGTAATATTAGTTATCTTTATAAAGAATCTGAGTATATAGATCAGCACAAATGTTTCAATCTAAAACCACATCATTAAGCATAAAATAGTAGAAATTTCAACTTTAATAGTTTATAGTTTCAATCCCTGCCTTCCCAATATTGCTTATCGTCTCCGTTGAAAATGATTTACGTATTTAAACTTAGGTTGTTCATTTTTCATTACTTTTTACTGAGTGCCTTTGGTTTTATTTTCCATCTTGATTCCAGTTTATTTTCGAAATGTACATAGATACTGATCATCAAATTAGCATCGGTATTTTGTATTCTTCTTTTTCTCTTTAAAAATGAGAATATTTCATAATTCTTTTGCTGGTTACAACTATTTGTGTTTGAGGCAAACAAAAAGCATAAATTTACAGATACATCTATTTATAAAAAAACTGGTTTTCGGCCGAAAGACTTTAAAATGTTTTAAGTGTTTATATGAATTATTAACTTTTATATGACAAAAACAAAGAACAATTTGAATTAATACAAAACATGATTGTGACTTTAAATTATATATAACTTTAGATGTATATCGATAATTACTTCTACAATTATAACAGGGTTTTATGCAGACCCAAGGGAAGGTATAAAGGGCAACAATGGTCTAATGGATCAAGTATTGGCTATGAAATGGATAAAGAGAAATATCAAGTATTTTAATGGTGACCCGTCTAAAGTTACAATATATGGACATAGTGCTGGAGCTGGGGACGCTGGTGTTCACTTACTATCAGGTTTGACCAAAGGTATAAAAATAATGAGAACAATATACCATAATACTACTTTGATCCTACTGACTAATAACTTTTATAGAGTAATAATTTAATTTTAGATGTAACGCGTCTTCTGTTTGGCTGACGTTGTTTTATTTATCAGCTCATAGACATAATTTTGTCATGTGACCGTGACGTCATTAACGTTTTTTCATGGTTTATTCCGGTTTAAAATGAAATTTATAATTAAATTATAAGAAATTACTGTAATATTTTTTCTGACTAGTCGAAATAACATAAAAAATGTGGTGCACACTTTAGAATAACTCACTACGCGGGTTATTCAGTGTGCACCACATTTTTGATGTTATTTCTTCATAGACAGAAAAAATATTACAGTCATTCCTTAAATATGAAAAATTATCGCTAGAAACTAAGGCAGCACGTTGTGTTGTCAATGTAAACATCAACGTCGTCATAGGCAAAATAGCGATAAACAGATTATCATTGGTCATTTCGACTCGATTGCTTTCCTCACTTTCGCCGTACCGGCTCAAGCGAGAAAATCAATCTCGTAGAGATGACCAACGATAATCTATTAATACAGTCTGTGAAAATTCTTTAGTTGATCAATCTGTTTCATTCCCTGGGCACAATGAAACTGAGAAAAAACAATCACTATCCAATGCGTGCATAGTAAGAGGTGCATGCTCTGTCGATACACTTATTTTGTGTAGGCGGTGCCTGTATTGTCGACACAATAGGCCGCAAGGCGTCGTATCAATTTGAGTACATTCTGATTGTATTTACTCCTATTGGTGTTAAAGGTGTCCTAATTGTCGACAGACTAGGCGCCATTCCAATTTGAGTACATTCTGATTATATTTACTCCTGTTGGTGTTAAAGGTGTCCTAATTGTCGACAGACTTGGCGCCATTCCAATTTGAGTACATTCTAAATGTTTTACTCCTATTTATGTTATAGGTGCCTACATTGTCAACAGTCTAGGCGTCATTCTGATTTGAGAACATTCTGATTATTTTCACTTCTATTTATGTAATTGTTGCCTACATTGTCGACAGACTGGGCATAAAGTATACGCCTCTATATAAAAATAAGAAGATGTGGTATGATTGCAAATGAGAAATCTCTCCACAAGAGACCAAATGACACAGAAATTCTGTTTATTCCTTCATTGTGACGTTTTTAAATAACAGAATTATCTCAATATCCATGTTTCCTCACGAAGTCTGATATTGAATTATACAAAATTATGGTAATTTGTGTTGTCATTAATAAGAGTTTTTTTCAATATGCTTTTATCCACTCAAACAGGGTTATTTAGAAATGCAATAATCCACAGTGGCGCACCAATTGCGCACTGGTTTCTATCAAGGTGTGTACAAACCAGTAGAGTATCAAATATTCCTCCAAATTGTCGACCGGGTACCAGTCTGAACACCACTGAGCGACAAGAGGTTAGTTATGAACTAGTCAAGAAGTTCCTATTTAAAAGTAGCTTAATATAATTTTGGAAAGGAGACAACATGTAGCGTTAGAAATCTGTTAACTTCTTTGTCTTTATACGCTTTTGCAGTTCGTTGTAAAGTACTAACAACACATATCTCTAAACTTTCTTTTGAATTATTTTAACAATACAAATTTCGATATTTACCTATGGGTTCAGTCCTAACCTTTACAAAACCAATAAATAATCATTGTTCAGTGCATATATTTTTTTACTAATTTTGGGATAATTTGATACCATTAAGCAGTTAAAGAAAGTAATTCTACAAGTATCGATCAGATTAAGGTCTGGATTTTTTGGGTTTTTTTTTGGGGGGGGGGGGGGGGGCAGTTTTTGTCTTTTAGTTGGGTCAGCTCCTGCCTTGTTGGCAGGTCATCATGCCAAAACCAAGTTCTGTGAATGGGGAGACCTTTCCTGCTGATGCACCATTGTAACAACCCAGATTGATCAATAAACTAAACAAAAGTCATTGCCCACTTCTAGACATTTGTGCTACCAAAATATATGTCAGGGCTTACTTTACGTTTTGAATTGATTTCATATTTGGAAGTAAAATTGATAATGGAACTGGGGAATATGTCAAAGAGACAACAACCTGACCAAAGAGTAGACAACAACCCGACCAAAGAGTAGACAATAGCATATCTGTAACTTCGTCATTTTCTGTCATCGATTCGAAGAATAATTTTTCAGGCTCAAATTGTTATTTTTAGATTCAACGTCATCTATGACGTCATATCGTTATTTTTAGATTGTGGATGTATAGAAGAAACAATTCTAAAACTGTGCAACTTAAAAGATACCAGTCTATACATAATTATGTGAGATACAACCACTCTTCAAGACTATAATGACTAACATAATTTAATTTAAATATGCCTAAAATATTGATATAATACGCAAGAGTCTCATCTGGGGACTCTTTTAATTTTTTTTTTGTATCGAAGCAATTAATTGTATACATGTACTTGTATTTAAACGTAAAATTACTGATCTATTTTAATTTATGGCATTTTTATGATGAAAATGGAAGTTAATCTTATTACTTTAGTAAATTTATTGTAAAATAATCCACAGTGAATTCCCGATCATTATCCTCCCCCCCCCCCCCCCCCCCCTAACTAACAAAAACAAATAGACAAATTATCGGGGAGCGGAAGTGACTTCGGCTTTAATACAATACTCATATACATGAAACACAATACCGTTTGGAAGAATTTTCCCATAGATACTGAAGAACTGCTCGAAGTACTTAATTCACTGTCATTAAAACTTTCTCTTGTAACAATCTTATAATGGCAGTTGCATTCTTAAATATGAATCAGACATCACTGTCTGGAACGGGACAGAAACTCTTAACAATTAACTTGCAAATATATTAATACAAAAAAAAATGAAAACGGTTCAATTGTATTGAAAATGAAAATAACACTTAATAAATATCGTGCTTCCGAAGGGCTTTGCTGGATTAACCTTCATTAAAAACATTTCAACCCAAACATTTTAAAGCCAGGGATGTATGAACACATAGAAACTTGATTAATATATGACCAAATAGGAAACTAAAAAGAACAGCCAAATTCATCTGTCAACTTTGTCTGAGGCAATTGGAACCTTAGTTTCCTATTAATATTTAATTAATCATCGGAGAATTTTAAAGAAAATGAAGGTTTTAATACGCGTCAACATAAGCACTGACTACTGAGTATTGCCCTCGGGGACTAACAATTCCATTAGCAGCGAAAGATGTTATTAGACCAGATGCAATGATTTTTTAACAACAAAGGGATAATTTAAAGTTTTTTCAATAAGTCTGCGAAGCAAAAATAGATAAGCGCAATACTTGAGTGTCAAAAACAATATTTTCCAGACGGAACTAACTTATCAAATATTAAATAACAGTAAAAAAATGGAATATTTGGGCATATATATTATATTATTTTTACATTAAACAAGAACTGTATTTGACGTTTTTTACTTTAAAAAGTACGCCGAGGATACAGAAAATCTTAGTGTCAGATAAATAAACTACGAAGTTTAATTTTTACTTTTTTACTTATTACTTTTTATAATTTAATAGGATAATTGGGTTGTAATTGATGGGGATTTTCTAAGAGGCAGTCCAGAAAAATTGTTTACTTGTGGAAAGTTCCATGCTGGTTCAGTATTAATAATGATGGCACGGGATGAAGGTTTCCCATTAGATATATCAGGTATGTATTTAAAAGAAAACACTTTAATGCTTACATATAATTTTTCAGTATACGTTCCATTGCAAAATGTGTCAAAAGAAGTTAAACATGCTAAAATTTAAAACAAAATGGATATCTTCCCTTTTCTATTGATTATCTTACAGGTGGTCTGTCAGTCCTCTAGTGTATCAAAAACCAAGTTGCCGGTGAACCGACATCCATCCATCCATACATACATTCATCCATACATACATACATTCATCCATACATACATACGGTCCCTCTGTAACCGTATTCCAAGACCACATGTCTTTGTGGATCACTTTTTTGCTCTTCCTTAATTGCTCTCTTAAAACAGGTTTCACTGTACATTTATAATAAAGAAACATATATAGCCTGATAAAAAAAATAAAATTATATTCTCTCTCTTCTCTCTCCACAAATTAAAGCATACAAATTCATGATAGATTGAGAAGAATGAAAAGAAAAGAAACACAAAAGTCCACAAACAATATACAAAAAACTAAAAGATAAAACCGCACGGTGAATTCATTTTCCCTTAAAGGGAAATCAGCTAATGTTCCAGTTGTAGGTCAATATCAAATTTATGAGTCATTGGTTTTAAAATACGAAGAAGATATGTAATACAAACATTTTTTATTTCACGACATCAGATATACATGGTAAATATAGGAGTCGGTCATGTGTTTGATAAAACTAATTTGTGATATTGTTCTCCATCAGTGCTGAATATGTTTTTTCCTGGCATCAACTATTATTTTAGTGCGATTTTGAGATAATATCCGCAAGTCAGTGCTAGATCACTTGGCATATTCTACTTGCTGTAGTGTTCTCGAAAATCTTAGAATTTTCGGTAACACAATAGTCATTAGATCAAATTCATAAAAAAAACAACAATCAATAAGATATAGAAATATAAACGTAATAACATACCGAACTCCACGGTAAATTAAAAAAAAACTCCATAAAACTTGACAAAACCAAAAAGCACGACTATATCAATCAACAGAACGAATGCAAAACAACTGTCATATTCCTGACTTGGTACAGGCATGTTCCAAACATATCTACTGAGGAAGACACTGTTAACGAGGTACTCCTTTATTTTACAAGCGTGGAAATTGGACATACGACCGAGAAAGGTTGTCCTTTGGTATATATATTTTTTTTAATATACATCTAACAGTTTTCCGTCCTTCCATTTCATAATAGCAGCTTAGAAAACTATGTAACACAGTTGTTTGCATAAATCAACATCTAAAGAAAACTGCAAAAATCAATGAATTCTAACTTTGAATTATTTTTCCAAAATATTTTAGATTACAGAGAACAAGATTTAGACCAAGCAATCCAATATTTTGCGACAACTCTGTTTGCAGAAAGACCGGATTTTCCAGGTACTTAAGAATAATTAAGTAGGTTACTTGAAAATAGATATGACACAAGTTGTACGTGAAGTTGAGTAGTGTAGGTTCATCAACCACGATACTTTTCATATTAATTACACCTTATATAAGAATGCCGGATTTTGATTGGTTGTGAGCCTGTGTATTTTCCGCATATTCTAACATTTTTCCTCATTTCAAACGAATTTGCCCGTTTTTTCAACACCCGTATGAAAAACATGACACGTACTCCAGTTGGACAGTAGCCGTACTGTAGCCGTACTGAGAACCGTACTTATAATATTCATTTGGACTTTTTTTTGAATTGCTTATAACAGATACCCCGGCTTTACTTTCAGCGAAATTAGCCGTAAACCGGCTCGAAATATTTAAATTAGCAGGAGTCCGGTTCATAAAGTCCAGCTGGACTTTAATAAAAGTACGTCTGAAAAAAAATCCAGCCGGCATTTCTGGCAAAAATATGGACTCTATAAAGTTCAGCTGGACTTTACAAAGTCCGGCTGAACTTTAAAAAGTCCAGCTGAACTCTATAAAGTCCAGCTGGACTTCAAAAAGTGCGGTTTGACTTTTAAAGATGATCTTAGCAGGGGTGAATCCAGCTATTTTCAAAGAGGGGGGTTCCTAACTCAGGATAAGGGGGGTCCAACCATATGTCCCCATTTAAATGCATTGATCGTCAAAATAATGGGGGTTCCAACCCCCGGAACCCTCCCCCTTGATCCACCACTGCTGAGTTTTTCTTCAGATGGTTGATTCTTCTGATTTAATTTGCATCATGCATCCCTTGCTTTAATCTGAAAATACAAAAAAAAACAGATGACATTATGCATATATACTGGTTATTTCTTTTTCTTTTTTGTAGTGTCTTACTGGCAAAACCAAGAAATGGGGAATTGAGAAGCTAAATGATAACTTCTAAAAAATTGTGGTTATTAAATAGCCTAAATAATTTTAAAGTGGCTAAAAATAAAATAAAGTTGGCTTTGAAAATCACTTAAAGTGTAGAAATAAAAAAACTTTCAAAACAACTCAAATAATAACCATTTCTTAATATGGAGGGAATAAAAAATATAACAATACATTTTTTTACACAACAATTCAAAACAGGAAGTGACAGTGACATAACAGACAAGATGAAAATTATTGCATGAATATAAATATTTGATGTAGGTTTTTTATTCTTCTTACTTTTTAGAAATAAGAATTATTAAAGCTTTTTATAATATTGTAATTATTTTATTAATATGTTGAATAAAAAGAGCATAACAGATATATATAATATCATCAAAATGGGAAACAGCAATCTTCCTAAATTTTCATTGATGCCAGTCAGAATGATCCATCTTCTCTATTTGATGTGAAAAGAACTACTTCCAAACATTTGCTTTACATCCAATGATATAAAATTCTCATTTTGTTCAAGAAAGACTAGACACATCTTCCTGTTCATTCCAAATTCAAATTGTGTTGTAATTGCAATACATGATATTGTTTAACATGTTAAGGAGTTGTTTTAAATGTTCCTCTAAATTGCATGTGCCTTAATTTTGAATATGTGATATATTAAAAAAAAGAAAATCAATTATTAATTTGATTAATTATGAAATTTTTAATAAAAGTGATAGTAATTGCAGAAATATGTATTTCGAAATGTGTTCTCCCACATTGGCCTCAATCTCTGTGGAGATAGTACTTCCTGTGACCTGTCCAGACTGAGGTTAACTGAAAACAGATGGCACATTTCTACAAAACTAACTACTATTACATCACTGTTATATGGCTCAAGTTTCTAATTGATGTTAAAGAATGAATGATAATTATTAATTTAATGCATTCATCTAATTAAATATAAACAAACTAGAAAATGTATAAATTTGACCTGTAACAGATGTTGCTAGTGGTTTTTTTTTTTTTTAAAGTAGAAATGTTAAATAATTGTTGTATATTAAAAATATTAACTTGGATATAATTCAATCAAAAGTCACCAAAATTAAATTTGAACTTTCCATCAACAGTCTAATGTTAAATATTTCATAATGGAATTGGAAATCTAGGGAAAGTATCACATCTTATAGTTTGAACTAGAAATATATTGCAAAAAAATATTTTATCATTATTATTACTTGCAAACTTTCATTTTGAACTGTTTTACCATTTGAAAGAATTGTTCCTTTCAAAAAACAGAATCTATTGTGGCAAACTTTTTAATTCTGTAAGGGTAGATTTGGCTGATGAAAATTTTCTAAGTCTAAATTCCTGCTCATAAATGAATGTAAAATTTTCTAAGACAAAAATCCTGCTGATCATTCTACAGAAAGGAATACATTTCCTCAAAAGTCCAGCCGTGTTTATTTTCTTGTAAGCATTACAAAAAATGCAGTTGGACTTTTAAGAAAATACCGACTGGCAAATAACCCAAGTATAAGAAAAAGTACGTGTACGGCTCATGTCAGACTGGAATACGTCTAAAGTCCAGCTGGAGTCCAGTTGAACTCCTGTTGAAATTTTCATACGGGCACTTAGCGGCTTGGGAAATTTTACCGTCCCTTGACTGGTATTTTTCGCAAATACCCCTCCATAACATGATATATCTGTTCAAAATTTATATCAATTCTATACGTTTCTAATCTAACGGAGCAATAAGTAATAGAATAAACTAAATACGGTTTTCAACATTCAATTGAAAATTAATTAAATCACACTGAGGATACACGATAATTTTAAAACCATTTTATACTGCATTAGTGGCACCCATCGCCTTGTTCATGACATAGAAATCCGGTTATAAGTCGAATTCGATAGAATAACATTATCGGTACCAACTAATCAGTGATGTTCGGGGCCAATCTAAGGAATGCAAAACATGACAACTACAGATGTATGAATACATAAGGGGAATAAATTAATAAACACAACCACAAAAAGACAGCGAAAAACGATTAAATTAATTCGACTTATATATGAATTTAAACAAATTCTGCCTTAATTTGATGCATTCTATTTTGTATCAAATCTATTTCGTAGATATCCTGAAAAAAGAAATAAAGATCTGGGAGACAATGAATCTATCAAATTATCCTCAAGTAAGTTGACAAAGTAGAAATATGCAGATTTTACTTGTTGGAAGAAGTAGTGTCCTTGTTTTCATTGGGAAAGGAAATTGTAACGACAACAAAATTTGAAGGATTGTTTTGTTTTGATAACAACACGCACATATCAATTTTTAAATATATCCATTTAGAAATATTTTAAAATGATAGTTCCTGATGAAGATGAATAAATAAAATCTAGCACTGTAATGAAATAAGTCAAAAAATGAGGCGGAAGATGAGAAGGGAACATTCAAAAATCATAAGTCGAAAAGAAACTTAACATGGCAAAAAAAAAAAAACGAAAGACAAACAAGTTCACAAAACACTAGATACAAAAAGTAAAGACTGATAAAATGAACCTAAAAGTGATCTTAACATCAGTCATGTTATTCCTATAAAATATGTTGATAAATAATATCAAGTGATTAAAAGTAAAATAACAAATATACCGAACTCCAAGGAAAATTCAAATTGGAAGTTTCCTTACCAAATAGCAAAATCAAAACAAAATGGAAAATAACTGTCATATTCCTGACTTGGTACATGCATTTCCTTATGTAAACGATCTTGCCATCTTGCAATAGCGGATTAATAGTTGACCTTTTATTCAATCCTTAGTCAACACTAAATACGTAAACCATCGGTCAAGTATATATTCTAACCCTAAATCTTGATAGAATTTGAATTTGCAGTATAAACAAGTGTTTGAGGACAATTGATAGACAAGGTTGTTACTGGTAGAGATCATTAAAAACTAAAAAAAACGTAACAAGAACTCCTGTTACAAAAAAAAGGGATCTCAGGTGCTCCGGAAGGATAATCATTCCTGCTCCAAATGTGGCATCTGTCATTGATTACGACTTAATGTCCAAGTAGATATCTTTAAATTGTTTTCCCTATGGACAAACAATAGAACTAATCTATTATTAAAAAATTAAAAAAAAAAAACAAATAAAAAAAAACAAACAATAGAACTAATCGCATGACGTTGCCATATTAAAGGTTTTTAGTCTATAGAATGGGTCAAAAGTCTTTAAAATTAAGTGGTACGTTTGGGTCCAACCATTTTATACATATTTTAAAGTCTACACGAGCAACACGACGGGTGCCATATGTGGAGCAAGCTCTGCTTACCTTTTGGGATTACATAAGATCACCCCCAGTTTGTGTGGGGTTCGTGTTGCTCAGTCTTGTCTATGCTGTGTTTCCTGAACTGTTGTTTGTCTTATCGTTTTTTGTCATGTCATTGTCAGTATGTTTTCGATTTATGAATTTGAATATCCCTTTGGTATCTTTCGTCTCTCTTCTGAGCAACACATATTAATTTACTCTGCATTGAGACAACTATCCTCTAGAGTTGAGATGACGTATCACTATGCAACTTTAGGTCCCTGTAGGGCCTATAACTATGAGATAAATCCATACTGTTAAGCCAGCTATAAAACGCACAGACATTACAAAATATGAAACAATGCAAACGAAAAAAAAAACCAAACGCCTGATTTAAGACAAATCAAGAAACGAAAAACAATATTACAGAGAGTAAACAACGACTACTGAATTAAAGCCAGTGGTGATACTAACTACAACAAGCGCATGAGTATTATAAATGGTTATATCCCTTACCTAGTTCACCGCTTAATATGAACCTGTTTTTATCCTCTCTCCCCTGATAAGTTATACTGCTTGACAACTGTCCAGCTAAAATAAAGGCATTTTTTATATTCTACTGAAAACCTAATCTATAAACCCAATTTGATTATTATTTCTATACTACGATAGAAGTTTCCATTGCCAAAAACAGAAAAAAAGTAATGGAAAGCTGGATTTATTTTTATTGTTTTTCAGTTGGTCACTTGTTACTGGAAGGTCTTCAACGAGGACTTAAGTCAAGCCTTATAAAGCAGGTTCAAAACAATTCAGGAAATAAAATGAATAGTGCTTATTACGCATTTGTACACGAGAAACCTGAAGAACCGACACAAAAAGATATAATTAAAATCTGATATATTTGGTTTCGTTAATAAATCAGAAGGCAACAGAAGTATACCGATGTCCAAATCTCATCAATCCATTAACACGATGCAAATTAATGTAAAAAACAAAAAAACGTCATCATCTTTAAAAAGACCGGATGTATTGACAGGGTAAACTTCTCTTGTTGTATCACCCGCTATAAAATCCACACCCAGCAAAAATATAACATTCAAACATGTTGCTAGTGAGTTAAGACACAGAATACCCGAAAACACATTATTATTTCAGGACTTACAAGTCAATGCTGATTTAGGACTTTTCGCGCCAATGATGAAACTCGCAGACATGATTTCCGAATGGCAAAAGAACGTGTATACACTCAGTTTTGACTATGTTTCTCAAAACGTAACCGGACCTGAATGGATAGGTAATAGTCTTTCTTACTGGTAAAAAGTGAGCATAAGTATAGATAATTTGACTGTCAGTATTATTACATACCCCTTTTACAAGTTGGTCCCACGTTTCAGGAAACAAAATGATGTTCCTTTCTTCTTTAGAATTGAAAAAAGTTCAGCTGATGCGAAAGACCAATAAAGATCATATAAAAACGAATGATGAGTACTGTTGAATTTTGTATTATATGTAATGCATATATTAGCTCTAATTGATACTTGGAAAGCAACAAATCATGCAAAATTAGTGAGATCGAGTGTAATTTTAATTCTGATTATTTTGTTATTAGGAGTACAACATGGATGGGATTTATTTTATGTATTTGGTGTACCGACAGTAGGACATCCAAAGTTCTCATATACAGCACGTGATGCAGAGGTTTCTAAAGTAACGATGCAACTAATCAGCGACTTTGTCAAAAAAGGGTACGAAAGACAATGGTCTAGCATTTAAAATATTCAGGCTGTTTTTGGCTTATTTTCATGTGCAATTTATAAACATCGATATAAGCTATTGTATGGCCTCCAATGGACCGCAATCCACTAAAGACTGTATAATATGTAACTATGAGGTTAACCATATTTGCTTCAACGACAAATAGAGGCCATCATTGGATGGAAAATTGTAAATGAACATAAAATAATCAGCAAACTAATACAAATAAAAGATGCAACGAAAAAAAAAGAAAAAAGACAAATAGCAAATGCTGTTTGTACAAATGTATATCTGCGCTATAGTTTTGGCTAACTCAGGAATTACCACAATAGAAAAATGTCAGTAAGATGAAAAACTAAGTAACACAGACAACTATTTACATTATATAACACATTTTTAGATTGAGCAATCCGAGCCCCACTTGGCTTCTGTAATGGCTTCGGGAGCTTTAGAATGGCGAACAGGTTGTTCGGCGTAATTGACCCACATTAGACTGTTAATGTTCCATTCTTACATTAGAGATGGTCCGGACTGTAGTCATTAGTTTTATTTTAATGACGTATCGGACATAACACTATCAAACTAACATACAATGCACTTTGAATGAATGATGAAACATATAATGTAAAAGTTGAAATTTTCTGGTAAACGGGAGCTTATAAAATTTTAATCATGTTCCATTGCCCTTAACACGTGCATTTTATGTATATATATGTGTTATAGGTCTGATACACGAATAAATTATAACTATATGTTGAAAGTCCGGACGTCTTTAATTAGTTTTAAAAATGTATGAATTTACTTTGACAAAAAAAGACACGAAAATATTACTAACAAAATACTTCCAAATAAATGAATAAATATTGATAACAAATATCTAATCATCCTCCAATTTTGATTAATTCTAGAAATTGGCGATCCTGTGGTTTGAGATTGAAGAAGTACAATTCGGAGAAAAAATCTATCAACAAACTGAATTATGTCAATGGTAAAACAGTTGTTACTAATGAAATCAACTTTAAACAACCAAGACTTGACTTTTGGTACAAATATTTGTATCCTTTTAATTTCAAATGTCCCCAAAGACATAAACCATATAAAGGTTATATGTAATCTATTCATGTATATCAAAGAAATAACGATGTGATGAAGAATTAAAAGTAATCCATCAAATGACATTTGTTTTATATTTTCTATGATTATCTAAAAAGCATCCTATAACGATAATCCCATTCGACACAAATTTGAGATTCGTGATTTTGCTTCCATAACTCCTGTCAATTATTTTTACATTTTCAGAGGCAACAGTGTATTATTTAGTGTGTCTAAAATACGAGCTCGCTGACCACCTCACGATAGTTAATTGTTGTAAAAAAATGAATGGATTGAAAAGGGGTAAAACTTGAAACGACAATGTTTTAAAACAGAAAAATTGCCCAAAACCCTGTCAAAATCAGTCAGCGATTGCTATTAATTTTAACCCAATGCATAAAAACCAGTCGAATCCCGACACATGCGCAAATGTGTTTTAAGTCTCAATCCTCGTACTTTGTCTTCTATGATATACAACACATTTGCATTGTTTTGCAAGTCTAATTTGTTGTATCCCCCTTTTTGTAATCTGATGTGCCAGAGTTTATGAATAATATCAAACCATTTATCAAATAATACCAATCCATTCAATCATTTTGATAACATGCTATGGCTCATTGGAGACTTTTGAAACTTCAATTTATTTTTATGTCTTAAGCACATATTTGATCAATTTAAACCTGGTTATAAAAGCAAGCTAGAGCAGTGTAACAACATTAAGACTAAATAATTCATTTCAACTGTATTATTAAGAGTTTGAAACTTTTAATTATCTTATTCATGATTTGGATTAACATCGGTTTTGGTAGAATTTTCTGACTAAAACCAAGTTAACAATTACCCTATTTGTTTATTCAAATCATCTTCTTAGCATATGTTTGCCTTTGCAAAAGGCTAAATCATATAAATGGGTAGATGTTATCGACAATAGTGGTGTCCAGTAAGGAGGGAAATTTTAGTAATCCGTTTACAGAACTGTGGCTTTGGTGTCTTTCGCCTCTCTTTTACAAATACCTAAACACACTACTAGCCTCGGGATATGGTTGTCCTCTAGGAACCAAACAATCAAATTAAATCCACTGAGATTTACTGAAAGCAGTGTCTTTTGGAACGAATAAAAGAATCTTCATTTTACACCATTTCAAACAAATCTGATACATAATACAGATTACCTTTTGGTCTAAGTATTCCTTGTTTCGCTCCGTTTTGGTGTTTATAAGATTCCCTAAAAAGGAGGTGAAAGATACCAATTGGACTTTCAAACTCATAAGTCAAAAATAAACTGACAACGCCATAGCTAAAAAAGAAAAAAGACAAATAAAAACAAACAACAGTACTCAGAACAAAACATAGAAAACTAAAGACTGAGCAACACGAACCCCACCAACAACTTGGGGTGATCTCAAGGTTTTAACAAAATGGTGATAGATGCTATTGTCACTTACTTGAAAACTGTAGCTATGGTATTCATCTGCCGTTACGAAAAATAACGTTGTAGTTTTAGTACAAACGAAAGCAGAATATCTTTCTATTGCATTGACATGTAATCGTTAGGAATTTGCATGTACATATACATATTAAGGATTATACACATTTTTTATAGAAGTTATTGATGTGGAAACAGGAGCGATTAACTCACAAACTGAATAAAAGTCCGAATTTAAGCTGATACTGGTCCCAGGTCAGGTGTGTCCCTAAAAAGTGTCAATTATAGCCCATTGTTGAACATTTTTACGTAAAACATGTAAAACAATGGATCACCTCAGGCTATTTAAAGGTTGTACTCTCCAACTTGAACTTTTAGCACTCATCATTGGCCTGAATTTTCAGCACCTCACTTGATATTTTCAGAATAAACCTCAAATTTTTAGTTTATATGAGATAAGTTTGAAAAATAATTAATCCATATAGTTTTGAAAGACTATAAGTTTTTTTTGTCATTGAATTAAGATACATACATTTTTGTACACACATACATATGTAATTCGTTTAAATAACAGCTCAACAATGTTAGATCTGTAAATTTGCGGAAGCAAAGTTTTTATTCTTCCCTAGCCATGCTACTGAGATACCGTGGCACCAAAAAGCCTTGCACTATGCCCGACGCGTATATATATACCACATATATGCCAGGTGTATATCTAAGAGTATAAGAAAAAATTAAATATAATCTTTCAATGGTTGTAATAATGATTGATAAGCTCCACCAATAAAAATATTTCTATCGTGATCCCTGCAAACCTTATATAAACCCATAGGTTCAAGACAAGATTGATTTTAATATATAAAATTGAGAATGGAAATGGGGAATGTGTCAAAGAAATAACAACCCGACCAAAGAGCAGAAGACAGCCGAAGGCCACCAATGGGTCTTCAACACAGCGAGAAAATCCCATACCCGGAATACACTATCTATTTTTATACATGTATATACATCTATTTAAAAAATCTCGTCTCATACCTGTGATAGCACCATTCTGCCTCCAAACATTCGTACTTTTTTCTGATACAAATAAACCTGTTTAAACATATTTGGCATCTTGCAAACTTTTTTGCCTTTACTTTCTAAAATGTTGATGATGTTCTTTGATTCTTTGGTCTTTTTTCTGTTTCTTCTTTATGTTTGGGATACTGCACAGCCATACTTGTCTGCTAAGTATTTAGAAGATTGATGTTGACAGACACCTAGAACTAAGGATCACAAATGTGAGGACTTCAGTTTTCCTATTGTAAAATTTCCACTCTTGAAACGTATCATATCCTCTGTTATTAAGGCTTTTGTCTTGAAGTTGTTATCAACTTGATGATTTCACTAAAAGTAATACACTCTTTATTCAAAAACTAATTCAGTTCGGTTATACGGAAGATCTGCTGAAATCAATTTTTGAAATCAGTCTGATTCATGAACTGCTTGGTTCCTACTGTGTATTAGTGACAGTTTAACATATCTACAGGTGTCATTGTTATATTCCTGGCATTGACACATAAGGCTGAATTTGGTAATTGTGTGACATTTGAAGCATTCATAGCAAATGTTTACTCTGGCTATGCAGGTGATAACTTGTTTTATCGTAGACTTGTAAGATGATAGCTGAACACTGAAATGCTACATGTATAAAGTTTAGTTTTACTGGCACTAAGAACACTTGTTTTCCAGTAAGTGATACAGACTTCAAGTGCCTATATCTAGTAGATTTTAATTAATTTGGTACTGTTATATTAACAATTACTATACATTTTCTTTTAATCAAATGAATTAAATTTTAGCTCATCTGGACCAAAGGGTCAAGTGAGCTATTTTCATTACTTGGCATCCATTGTTCGTGAGCTTTTACAAAAATCTTCTCTGAAACTACTTGGCCAATTGGAACCAAACTTGGCCACAATCATATTTTTTGTAAATAGTCTAAAAAATTATGTCTGCTTACCTGGCCTACTAACCTGCATGGCAGACTTGGATGAAAATAGAACATAGGGATAATTGCAAATTTCCTTCATTATCTTGAAAACCGCTATCGATAGAGAAAATCTGACATGGGCAGACATGTTTAGAATATTAAGAACTACCTTTTGTCCACTAACATCTAAAATGTCAGACGACTTCTTATAGGAGTTTTTGCCCTTGAATGACGACAATTGCCTTTTTTGTTTCATTTTTGCTTTATCTTGAAAATTGTAATAGATAGAGAGAAACTTCAGAAAGCAAAAATTATGAGAAAGACAATATCTACAAATAAATTAGCATGACCACAATTGTCAGTCAACAGCATTTTGAAGTTATTGTTCATTTATGACTATTTTTAGCTTTTTTGCATATAATCTTCAAAACTATAATAGATATATAGAATATTAAGTAAGCAAAGATGATCAGCAAGACAAAATCTAAAAATAAGTCAGCATTGCCAAATTGTCAGTTGACTCCTTATAGGACTTATTGCCCTTAAATGACGATGTTTACCATTTTGTTTGTGTTATTGCGTAATATTTAAAAACTGCAATATATATAGAGAGAAACCTTTTATAGCAAATATAAACAAGAAGATGCGGTATGAGTGCCAATGAGACAACTCTCCATCTAAGTCACAATGTATAAAAACTAAACAATTATAGGTCAAAGTACGACCTTCAACACGGGGCATTGGCTCACACCGAACAGCAAGCTTTAAATAAAGGCCCCCCAAGGGTGACTGGGGAATAGAAGTATGATCACCATTGGTCTTCCTCCGACCGGCAGTAAAACCCGTGCTAAAGTGGGGTGTCCGTTTGGCTGTGCGGGATGTACAAATTTGCAGCCACGTCCGGTCAGAATGGGGACGTTAAATCCGATGCCTCGTGTAAAGAGAGTGCCACGCTCTTTGCACGTTAAGAACCCTTGCAACAACTCTTTGAGGGGTCCGTATGTGACTTGTTGGAAGGCTAAATTTCTGTCCCTATCCAATATACCCTCATTTCCCGTGGCAGTCTAAATTTCTCCGACCTTAACCCCTTAATCTATTACAGAACCTACCTATTGTATTTATTGTGAACTTGTTCTCGTCCTGAATATGCATGAAATATTTGCCACTGGACGTTAAGCAACCAACAATCAATCAATCAATTAAATAAAGGCAACAGTAGTATACCGCTGTTCGAAACTCATAAATCGATAGAGATAAAAACACAAATCCGGGTTACAAACTAAAACTGAGGGAAACGCATCAAATATAAGAGGAGAATAACGACACAACCAAAAAACAACATTAAAATGTAACACACACAGAAACGAACTATAATATAACAATGGCCATTTTCCTGACTTGGTACATGACATTTAAGAAAAAAATGGTGGGTTGAACCTGGTATTGTGGCATGCCAAACCTCCCGCTTTTATGGCAACGTCAAACACAACACCAAAACGACAACATCACATGACAGGACCACAATACAAATAAATGGGAGAACATATAGGACAAAGAGACACACGAATAATAGCTAACAAAAGGTACTAGGCTTAAAATTCAATACGCCAGACGTGCGTCTCGTCCACACAAGACCAACAAGTGACGCTCAGATGAAAAAAGTTTGAAAGCCAAAAGGGCTCCAAAAT